TCTATGTTATTAAAGATCGCAAAAGTGTAAATCCGCCTTCAGTAGCATGCTTTATTTTTCATATATTAAATGAAAGTAAACCTCTCCACCATGTAGTGTTGTTGTCCTTTATTCAAAACACTAGAACGTGATACATCTTAATTTGATCATTCCACTAAGACTTGCTTTCGACTCTGTATTAGCATTTCTAGTTAGAACAGAATTAAAGTTGCTTTAGTTTTGTTACTACCATATTGTAAATTTCCTGTTGTCAATATGTAAAATATACAAAGTAAGGATTGTTTAAAAAAATATAGTATATTGTTCAATCAATAAACAATTTCTAGAATAATCTTCATATGTCATGGTATTCCTATGAACTAGAATTTGCTTGTCAATTAAATCCTTTTCATAGAAGAATTAATAGAAGAATTAGTATCCTTAGTCTCTTGTAAAATTTCAACTTATTAATATTTTTCTTTCGTAGTACAGTATATTATAGTGAGATTCTTTGTGATTCTAGTAAAATTTTGCTAAGATTTTATTTAATAATTACTTACAGAAAACAAATTATACAACTAAACAGTAAGTTCAATTTGTTAAAATGTATTTGACGAGCAGAACAAGATATGCTACACGCCTCCAAGCTATAACTGATTCAATCTAATAAAAACGTGTTTCAATTACCTATAATTTAGTGGTAACTAGTTTACAAAACATATAGCTAAAAACTGGTTCTTACTGAATATATCAATAAATACTAGGAATTATATAAATTATAATTTACATGTGATGATTTTAATACGGGGTTTTACCAATATAGAGTAACAATAAGTATTGCATAAATTTTACTGTGCAACACTACTGTACTTCTATTGAATACAAGAGCATCTAATTTTTTCTCCTTAAGAAGAACGAATTCGGGTTTTCACTAACATATACGTGATTATGACAGAGTTACTATAAAAAGTGTATTAATTATTACTTTCTGGAATCGTTTGAAAACATTATTTGCTAGTATTATAGTTACCTCATTTAGTAATCTCTACTCTCCTAAATAGTATCATTCACCAATTTTCTCCATTACTTATTAAATAGGTACCCTTCGAGAGCAGGTCGGTATCTGTAAATTAGTAAATGTAAGATTTTTCATTGATAACAGCATTGTTATCACCAAATCATGTGATTTTTAAACGGAAATTTGCGTGTAGACTTCAATTCTTGTTCGAGTTACAGTATTTCAATTTAGAGCCACAGTCGATTTTGTACCAATTTTAGATAAAAACAAGTAGCGGCGTTGATTCGAAGCCATAAATGTATCGGACTGTTATAAAAGATTCTTCCACTGAAAATGAATATATAATTTGTGGAAACATTTCTAGCGAAGAATTTGGAATTAAATGATGATTACAGAACTGTAAATTCACATGGTTTTATCTTGATGACATGAACCAATTAATCTAATTAGAAGAATTGCAAATATAATTAGTACCTAAACACGTGACTAAGCAGTTGTTCAACTTATCCAGCATTAAAACTATAATTTATTTTAAAATATTAATTTTATATTTATATAAAATATATAGATTTACATATTTCGATAAATGATTATGTATTAATGTATAGTATAGCATTTGAGAATTTATAAAATAAAATTATAGGCCTATATTAATTAATTTTTTTAAATGTACAAAAAACTCGAAAATTTTTTCATATTTTATTTAATATTTATTTATTTACATTAAATTACAACTTATTTTGTTTTAAAATATTTATAGAGTTAATTATTAAACATAATTTTGTGCTATTAATTTTGTTTTATATAATTTTTATAAGAATATATATTTAAAAATTTCCATGTGCTATCTGAAATTTTATTTCAACGAACGTCAATGAACTAAAAAAAAACATTTCTTACATCATTCGTGACATTCTTCACACCATCAAACTACGTCACTGAAGACTTGATCTTCAGTGACGTAGTTTTATGATTCAGTATAAATGATTTGTGTTTCGAGTTTTTTTATATGAATTTTGACCTTCAAATACGCCCAACTCATTATTTTCTGTTGAGATTAATGGCATAAATTTAATTACAAATTTTATAAAAACTACTCCATTATTTTGTTTAAAGCATTATATTTGATATTAGTATTGAATTAACGATAAATAAGTTTTCCTCTTAAAAATCATTTATATTATTTAGTTTTTATTGGGGAAAATCTTTACTCTTGGAAAGTTATGTTGTTGTTGTAGCCTATAAGCGTTGCGTGGTATCATAGAACTAACCAGAAGTATAAATTGTGCCGTTTTATACAAAAGTATAGTACTGTATAGAAACTCGGAATTGCACATAATCACATGAAAATCTTGTAAATGTAAAGCTTTTAAATGATGCTATACATGTAGTAACCTTCGGAATTTCATAAACTACAAATATTTGTGTGTAAAAAGTATAGAAGATCGACAAATTGAGAAGAACAATAAAAAATGTTCTAGAATTTACCCAAAACGTTTTTTTTAGAAAAAACTTTTATTCTTTTAAAAAGAAAAGTTTTAGGTAATTTTTTGAACATT